AATCCAGGCATGTGCCCTTGACCGGAATCGAACCCAGGACCCTCAGTCCACAGGTTGATGCTCTATCCACTGAACCAAACCAGCTAGGGATGTAGCCAACTCTTGACCTCACAGCCAGGCCCTTTTTACTGCATTTCCATGTTGATGTGCACAAGCTCTTATTATCCATTCACATGTATTTCTGTGTGCGACCCTTCATCAAACATTGGCACCTCATCTGGCTGGAGCACACTAGCAGTTCATCTAGGACAGCAACCCGCCCTGATGCCTGTCCACCCAGTCCCACCCAGCAGGTATCGCCCAAGCAGAGAGGGGTGGGCCATGCAGGGCTCAGGACTAAGAAGCAGGGAGCACAGCCTGCTCGCATCTCCGTCCTCCGTCCTCCTGCAGTGAGTTTGAGGGAATGACAGCAGCACGCCATGAGTTTTATCAGGGTAGCGCTGCTTTCACAAACAAGTTAGCCTGCCGGAGAAGCCCCTCACAGCACGGGACCTCCCAGAGACAATTTGACTGGGGCCACACCTGGAGGGCAGGAGGGCAAGGGAGCTCCTAAGGAGAGGGGGTTGGAGAGGGGGCATCGTGATGATGTCACTCAACAGCACCAGTAGGAGTCTCTGGGTCAAAGAGCAGCAGTTTGGGGTCCTTGATGGCCCCAGAGTGTATCTTATCATCGGCCAGCAGACAATGGGTGGAGCCTAGCTTCACAGGGTATGCAAAGCAGGCCGCTTCTAAATGGTTTAAAACTGCTTGTTCGAGCTGTGTTTAAAACAACTGGATGGGTAAAAATTTTAAGTTTGGCCCTAGTGGGCTTTGAGCTGTAACAGGTCCCAAACTACCTCTAAAAAGGAAGCAACACTGGGCTAGTAGAGGCCTTTGACTCAGTTTCATAACACCTGCCACCCTCAGATTGTCACGCAGGGCAGGGATGCCAGCCTTTGCCAGTTCTGTCCGCACGCAGCCAGGCAGTGCAGCGAGCTCCGTGAAGAGGGCGCCTGCCTGGGTTGCTGGGAGGGCCACCCGCTGAGGCCCCAGCTCTTGACGCAGCTGGTGGTGCCTTAGAGCAGCAACGTGGTGCTGGACTTCCTGGTCAGGACTAGCGTCGGAGCTTCAGGCTGACTCAAGCGATGCAGAAAGTCCCCAAATGTTTCTTTCTAATTTATTACTTATGCCCTGTGTACTTATATCAGGGATTTAATAAGAGCATTTAGGGAAAATGGAGAATTAGAGTTCTAAGGATGAGGAGGGAATACATATATTTTTAACCTAATTGTGGTTGTCTATCACATTTACCTTTGAGCTTCCCATTCACCAAGGCATAGGAAGAGGTAAGAAAATAAGTGTTTTTGGGCCTCGCCTTGAGAAAACCCGACCTTTCAATTATAGTAAATTATAGTACATGCATGACTGTCTGGGATTGACTGATCTGCTAAGGAGCCATTTAAACAGTGTCTTCACTGACCAGAGCTCTGGCTGTGTGCAGTGTTGGAAAGACATGGATATTTTAGGGCTCTCAGTGACTTGTTCAGAGGCACTTAGATAGGTTTGCATCAAGAGGAAGGGCAGCCCTAACCAGTTTGGCTCAGTGGATAAAGCGTCGCCCTGTGGACTGAAGGGTCCCAGGTTCGATTCTGGTCGGGGTCATGTGCCTTGGTTGTGGGCACATCCCCAGTGGGGAGTGTGCAGGAGGCAGCTGATCGATGTTTCTAACTATCCCTCTCCCTTCCTCTCTGTAAAAAAATCAATAAAATATATTTTTTTTAAAAAAGAGGAAGGGCATATCCCCTAGCCAGTTTGGCTCAGTGGATAGAGCATTGAGCCACGCATTGACGTGTCCTGGGTTCGATTCTGGTCAAGGTCACATACCTTGGTTTCAGGTTCCTTCCCTGGCCCTGGTCTGGGCTTGTGTGGGAGGCAACCAATGAATGTGTCTCTCTTACATAGATGTTTCCCTCTCAGTGTCTCTCTCTCTCCCTTCTACTCTCTCTAAAAGTCAATGGAAAAATACCCTCGATTGAGCATTAAAAAAAAAAAAAGAGGTAGGGCCTTGAGCACACGGCATGACTTGGAATTGGGTTTGTGCCCAAGTAACGTCTTATTTGTTTGACGTTAAAGAAATTTTGTAACACTGGACAGATCACGAGAATTCTCGCTTCGTATTACACAGTGTTTTACAAAGTATCAGACTTTAAAAAGATATTAGCTTGTAAGGACATGTAATAAATACCTTCAAAATGCAATGGGTATTTAATTTTAAAGCGCGCCTTTAACATTGATGTAAAACTTTTTTTGTACTCGTTCAGTAGAAACTTTCCTGGCCACTGGATACAGCTAGCAATGAAACTACTGGTCCGCCATGTGTAACATGTCTGAAACCCCGTTCCCTAGGCTGTCAAATAGAGGTCATTATACACTCGACCGTTCTGGTGGCCCCGAGGGTTAGAGGAAGTAGCACACATTTCACCAGACAGCCCGTCTCCGGGGTCCCCACGGGTGTTCAGGTTCCTGCCGCCCGATAGCTGGCCACTGTCGCAGATGGTGGGACCACTTTGCCTCCTCATTCGGAATCAAGAGGGTCCCACAGTGGAACAGGAAGGGTGAGGGTGCCTGGGTGTGGCCCACAGACCTGTTGACTACAACAAACTTACCCCTTTGTACTAGAAAGTTCTCCGTGGCCGGCCCATTTCTGGAGGCCCAAAGGACTCCCCACAGCCTCACGGCTTTGCTTGCTTTGCCCTGCAGATGGACCGCGCGGGGCACAAAGGCGAGCTGCAGGCAGACAAGATGATGAGGGCGGCCGCCAAGGACGTGCACAGGCTCAGAGGCCAGAGCTGCAAGGAGCCCCCAGAAGTGCAGTCTTTCAGGTAAGCAGGTGGGCGCCTGGCCGGCCGCCCGCCCGCCCTTCCCTTTCCCTGGCCCACCCCGCCGGCCCAGCCTCCGTCCCCTGCTCCCTGTCCCACGGACCTTTCTCTCTCGTTGTCACAGATGTTAAAGCCCTGCCCAGCCGTCCCTGGCGGCCTGTGTGCCTGCACTGCCTTCCCTGGCTGTCTTTCTCTGTCCCCAACAACCCAAGCTAAATTGTTAGTCCCTCTTGTTTAACCCCTAGAGTGCCAGGGAGCACGATCGTGCTCCTCCCGTCTTTCGCCAAAAGTGCCAGGAGTGCTATCAAAGCTTCGAAATGGCGTCCAGTTCTAAGTCTGCTTTTATTAGTGATGATGATATTGCTAAATATGTCAATGTGGTAAAGGTTCCCTTAAGTTTTTGAATATGTAACTTCATTTACTTGCGATTCACAATTTTTTCCCTAAACTGCTGTAAAATCAGCAAAAATGCCTTGGCAATTTTAGCATAGTTCCTAGAATATTGGTTGGCACTCAAAGAGTTAATGAATGAGCCACCCGCTCGGGCCTTTCCTCTTAGTGTTTCCAGCACCAGTAACAGTAATTGCTGATTTCGGAGGATGGGCTGCATGATAAATAAGCCAGGGGTGCGGGTGCCCCAAGGGCCTCCTGGCTCTGCCTGCCCTCTGGGACCTCCTGATGCGCTTTCTTGCTGTGCTGGACCCCGGCGTCTCGCAGGAGGGCCCCAGTGCCATCTGTCCTGGCCTCCCATCCATAGAGGGCCTTGCATTTAGACTTGTGATGTCCTCTCAGATAAGACTAAGGAAACATGTAGAATGTGCTGTAATTTGTATGACCATGTTAGAACATCTCGGTTTTTTAACCAGTTGAGAATCTAAAACAAGCACTAGCAGTGGCCCAAAGGGCCTTCTAAGCCCAGGCCCCTGATTTTAACTAAAGGCCCCTGGTCCTGCTAATGTCCCCTAAAGCAGGAATTATTTGGGTCCCTCCTGGAGACATTTGGCGATTCCGTGTGCTTTTTTTTTAATATTCACCAAGAGGATGTTTTTTCCATTGTTTTTTCAGAGAGACTGGAAGGTGGGGGGAGGGGGAGGAAGAAAGAGGAGAGAGATGGAGAGAGACAGAGAAACATCAGTGTGAGAGACACATCAATTGGTTGCCTCCTGCATGCGCCCTCACCTGCAAGCCAGGTACCTGCCCTTGACGGGGAATCAAACCCAAGACCCTTCAGTTTGAGGGCTGGTGCTCCCTAACCATTGAGTCACCGGCCAGGGCAGTCTGGGGGCATATTTGCTTGTGACACTGGAAAGAGGGGTGAGGGAGCTGTGACACACATCTAGGGGGCGCGGGCAGGGATGCTGCCTCCCATCCTCCCACGTACTGCATGGCTCCCCCATACTGCATGGCTCCCCCGCCAAGGACCGCCCTGCCCGCGGTGTGTGTAAGGGGAGGGCGAAGCTCCTGCCCTGACGGTGTGGTCTCTGTTACAGGGAGAAGATGGCCTTTTTCACGCGGCCGCGGATGAACATCCCCACCCTCTCCGCAGACGACGTCTGAGCCCCAGAAAAGTATTTCCTCTGGTCCGGGGACCCTGCCGTGAGCAGAGACTGCGGCCGCTGTTATTTATGTGGTGTTATATGAAGGTTCTGCGTCCCACGTCCTCTAGCGCTCCTCTGGTTTGAAGATGAAGATTTTTTTTTTTAGTTTGGGTTCTATTATTAAAAAAAAAGAAGAAGAAGAAAATCCAAAAAAAAACAACACACAGCATTAAAACGACAAGATTGTATAGTTTGTATATTTAGGAATGTATTTTTGAGAAAGAAAATTTAAATGAACTAAAAGCAGTGTCCAGTTGCTGCTCTTAAAATAAAATGGTTTAGATTTTTTCTTTTTTTTGTACAGCTCTGCCTTCTAGAGGTTTCATGCAATAAGTAAGTCATGTTTTGGGGACGGTCACCCTAAAAGGACGCCCCGCAGACATCACAGCACAGCTGACCTTTCCTACCTAACGTATTTTGTACAATATTTTAAAACGCACAGCCAGTGTGTCGCGGATTCTGGGGTGTGCCTGTGAGTCTTCACCAGCTGTGACGTGTTTTTACGCGGCCGCCTGAGGTGGAGCTGGCCACGGGCCTGCCCACGCCGTCTCAGATGCCCAGTGAAGCCACTGACGTGAGTGAGGGAGGGCTTTTCATTTTATCTCCATCAATAAAGTGGCCTTTCTGAACGAATCTCCTCTCTCTCTTCCTCCCCCCGCGCCCCACGCCGCCCCTCCCTTCACCCGTGTTTCCCTGATTTTTGTCTCTCCCCCTCCCAGTCCTTCCCTCCCCACCCATCCCCCGTCCAGTCCAGGTGCTATTCTCTTGGTTTTGGCTTGGTTTGGTTTGGTTTGGTTTTTTGCTCACCCCTCCACTCATTTGCTCATTAAATGAAAATGACTGTTGCAGACGATTGGAAGTCCATCCTTAACAAACAAGCAGCAAAACCTCTTTCTCCTCCCATTCCCGGACATTATCCTGTGCAACCTTCCTCCCAGCATGTGGCACCGGCAGCCATGGCACAGTCACTTGGGCCAGCTTATTACAGACACACATCCCCGGACCCTCGCCCTGCCGGGATGGGCCCAGCACTTGCTCTTATCCATGCCTCACTGTCAGCCCAAAGCACACTGCAGTGTGATGGACCCGCCGGTATAAAATGAGAAGCCCAGGCAGAGACGGAGCGTCCTGTTAGAACGTCACTCGGGGGACACTAACGTGCATGGCCCTCTGCAGGCCACGGAGGCCCGTGCGGGAGGTGTGATGAGGGGGTGGAGCCCTTCTCTTGGCTGCGGAGGTTTCCCCCACCTCCCACTGCGTTCCTTACCTGCTGCTTCTCCTATGGAGAAGGTACCTACAGTGGCATAAAGTCCACCATTATTCCCCATATGGGGTCCCAGCTGGGCCAGGCAGCCCTTCCCGGCATTAGCCACCTGAAGATTAAAGAGTAGGTTTTCTTGCCCGGCTGGCATGGCTCAGTGGTTGAGTGTCAATCCATGCACCAAGAAGTCACTGGTTCACTTCCAGGTCAGAGCACTTGCTCAGGTTGTGGGCTCAATCCCCATTAGGGGGCCTGGAAGAGGCAGCCGGTTGATGTTGATGTTTCTCGTTGGTGTTTCCCTGTATCTCAAATCAACAAAACATTTTTTTTAAAAAGTAGATTTTCTCTTCCCAAAGCTACCCGTAGCCGTGGTTCAACCTCCGGGTCCAGCCCTGCAGAGAGAAACAGATGGAACAAGCGGGGAAAGCGTGGGTGGGGGTTGGGGGGGATGGGGGATGGTACCCTTGGGGTCTGAATTGACTGAGGTTCACTGCATCCTCGTGTGTCTGTAGTCTGCCTGGTGGCCCGTGGAGGGTGCCCAGTAAAAACTCAGGGGCCGTGCAATGGGATTCCTTCCCTCGGCCACACCTTTCTCTGTCCAGCATTCCAAGCCATGGTCAGCCCCTCACCCCCCGCGGCAGCAGCCGCCGAGAGAGACGCAGAGTTCCGACCACCCTCTGTGAGCGGCGGAGGCTACGTGGAGCGCATCCTCCTGCCCGGGAAGTGTGTGCCAGTGTTGCAGAATTCACCAGGCGACCGGAAAGTACACAGTGACTACTTTCAGGGAGATCCAGGGGAAACCCTTTATTTAAAGCAGCGCTGCTGGCTTGGGCATTCGAAGATCCAGAGCCTGAACCCCTTCTACAATGAGACTACTCCTTGTATATATATTCCTACGTTTCTTTGTTTCCTAGCTACCCAGCTTTTTTTTTTTTTAATATATTTTATTGACTTTCTACAGAGAGGAAGGGAGAGGGACAGAGAGTCAGAAACATCAATGAGAGAGAAACATCGATCAGCTGCCTCCTGCACACTCGCCACTGGGTATGCGCCCACAACCAAGGCACATGCCCTTGACCGGAATCGAACCTGGGACCCCTCAGTCCGCAGGCCAACGCTCCACCCACTGAGCCAAACCAGCCAGGGCGCTACCTGGCTTTTGTGACAGGCTTTCACAGCCCCTCCTGAGTCCGTCAGAATGGGGAAGTTAGAATGTATCTACTAGTAAATGCCTGGCCTGGGTGGCACCAGAGACCCACCCCCCTCCCTTCCCTTCCCCTCTGGCCAAGCTGCCAGATTCCCGGCCTGTGGCCCCTGCAAACTGGGAGCACCCAGGAAAACAGACTATTGCCCAAGGAAGGGGCAGTGACTTCATTCTAGGCTAACAATGTGCACTAGGACACCGGTCACTGGCACAGACTCAGATTGCTAGTGCCCCCCTCCAAGGTTGCCCCCTATGTTCCTCCTCACCGGTGCTGTTTGGGCTGATGGAGCATCTGTGGGCAGAGCCAGAGCACCTCTTCCGAAGGCAGAAGGCCCTGTGTCTGCCCCGGCATTGAAGTCTCTGTGAACAGTCCCTGGCCAAACACCAATCCATACATCCAGTTGTTGTATGCAGAATAAATAAAGTCACTGTACGTACACACAATTGTGCACACATGTTCTCCAGAATCTACGGGAAACAGGAGCTTAGAGATGTGAAATGCCCTGCCCAGGGTCACTGGGATAATACATGGCCAGAGCTAGAGCACAGCCCGCTCTTCGAACTCCCCAAGTGTCTGAGTCTTTCAGTTCTGGTTTCTGTTTCACAGTGTTGTGGTCACGCGAGGCCCCAATCGCAGGGACTTTGAACATTTGCTTTACAGGAATGAAACCGTGAAATCCTGCGGTTCCTCTGCATGGGGGTGTGGAGAAAGGGGGTGACTAGGATGCTAGCTGAGAAAACCTCACTGGATCTGATTGTCTCGTTCATAAAACCAATTGTTGCCTTTTGACTACAAATGTTTTAAAAATAGACTTACAGTGATTGGGGTGACATTGGTCAACATGAACATACAAGTTTCAGGTGTGGGTTTCTATGTTACATGATCAGTTTATTGCACCGTGTGCCCACCACCCAAAGTCAAATCTGTCACCTCTTTTTCTTTTTTAAAAAAAATCTATTTTATTGATTTTTTTACAGAGAGGAAGGGAGAGAGATAGAGAGTCAGAAACATCGATAAGAGAGAAACATCGATCAGCTGCCTCCTGCACCTCTACTGGGGGTGTACCTGCAACTCAGGTACATGCCCTTGACCGGAATCAAACCCGGGACCCTTCAGTCCGCAGGCCGACGCTCTATCCACCGAGCAAAACCGGTTTCGGCTTTTTTTTTTTCCTTTTTAATTTAATTCCAAATCTTTTGCGATTGCCATTGGCCCCGGAGGTCAGCTGCGTCCTGGCTCTGTTTGTAGTGTGCCTGGTGAACCGAGGCAAGAGTGCTCGCTGGCAATCTTTGTGCTTCCTGCCTCTAAGAAAGCAACCTCGCTGAAACCCTGAAACCGGTTTGGATCAGTGGATAGAGCGTCGACTTGTGATTGGCTGCCTCCTACACGCGTGTGCCTGCAACTCGGGTACATGCCCTTGACCGGAATCAAACCTAGGACCCTTCAGGCCACAGGCCGACGCTCTATCCACTGAGCCAAACCGGTTTCGGCTTTTTTTTTTTTTCCCCTTTTTAATTCAACTGCAAATCTTTTGCGATTGCCGTTGGCCCCGGAGGTCAGCTGCGTCCTGGCTCTGTTTGTAGTGTGCCTGGTGAACCGAGGCAAGAGTGCTCGCTGGCAATCTTTGTGCTTCCTGCCTCTAAGAAAGCAACCTCCATGAGAATGCACAATAAATGCTTGGTGAGTATCTAAACAGATCGTATAGCTCGGTGCCCATTTCACAGACGGGTAAACTGAAGCCTTTGAGAGACAGAAGCTGTAGGTAAGCGCCTCACCAAGTCCGTGCAAGCACACAGAGCAGCTCGGGTCCGAACCCCATTGCCCTCCCCCAAAAGCCCAGTCTCAGGGCAGCAGCCCCCATCCCGGCCGCCTTCCCGCGGGTTCTCCCCGCAGTGCGTCCTGGATCCCGCCAGGGGGCAGCAGAGGCGGCGGCGGCGCCCTGTCAGCCTCGAGACCGCGATCGGGGAAGATTTCCGCTTCTGGGAAGTGCTGGCTGTTTCCGCTTCCGGCTACTTGTTGCGCGAGACGCTGACAGGAGCATGGACGGGCTGGTGGCTCAGTGCTCCGCGCGGCTGCAGCAGCAGGTCGGGCCGCAGGGGGCCCCGGCGGATGCGTGGAGGGGAGGGACCGGCCCCGGCTCCCGCCCGAGCGTCGTCGAGGCGGTGGCAGAGCGGCCGGGACTGGCCCGTGTCCCCCAGGCGCGCGCAGCGGGGTCCCGGGAGCCGGGCGGTGGGGCCTCGGAGG